AAAAATGACCGGTTTAATGCGCCTGGCGGATGTCGGTATGCATGTACGAAGTGGCAGTTAAACACATTATTTTCCTCATAATCGAAAGCTCGTCGCAAAGATGGCCACTGCGAGAGCTCTCTGCTACAACTTCTAGGCGAAACGGCATTACTGATATTCCCTCCTGCAAAGACGATGGGTCAGAGAACGCCACTACCATGCAACTGATAGCAGCTGACCAAACACGGATACGCTGCTCGAATAGTGGACGTTGAATCCAAATTTCCGGTGACTTCCAAATTCAGGTTCAACGTTGGGGTTCCCCAGATAATGAGGTGAAGTTGATTGACGGCAAAAAACCATTAGACTCTACAAATGTCTTTGAATACATTTCCAGGACTGAGAAACCTTACCAGTCATTTAAAACCACAAAATAGTCTGAACTCGGTAGCCGATCACCGAAGATGAATCAAAGTTTTTGGTGCGTGCTTAGGCGTCACGATATCTATGGCAACTCGCGGATGTAGGACTAATCAAACTAATGTTCACAGTGACAGTTAAGAGTATATAATTTGAGCAGATGAATAAGTAAGGGTACAAACGATCGAAACGAGGACAAGAGCTGCCAGCATTATTTATTCAATAGATCAATTACTGCTATCGTTAGCTTATCAATGGCGACCGAATGTTAAATATAAAAAGTAAATTATGGAAGCAATACTTTTTCACCACCCTTAAAGTCAGAGACAAAGAATCGAATAAGACTGTTCATAAAGATGTTTGTATTTCTCTGTCCATTCTTTAAAAGTAATCTTGGGAGGAAGTATGTCCGACAAAAAGGAGTACCGCGACAACTGTGATTGTGTTCTTGATAAGTTTTCGTAGGTGAGTTCGCCTGACGACTTTGAGTAGGAAAGAGTTAAAATTTCCTTGATGAACATCTCCTATTGGATGAAAAGACTAGTTTGCGCATATTATTATCCAACTTACCGTAGCCTTGATCAAACAAATAACAGACTCAGAGCTAACACAATCGACATCAGGAGAACTCTTCATCATATTTCTCATTCTTGATGGGGGTATTAGAAGTAAGCTTTCGTCCCCATCATCGTCAGTCAGACGTGGGCGAGGCATCTGAGTCAGCGATCTACAATCAAAGCAATTCCTCGGGTGAAATAAGCAGTTGAAACAGAAGGGTTGGCAGAAGAAAGTACTGTAAGAGGGGACGGCTGCGGATAGATGCAGAGATTAGGCCGTACTGTTGTTCGTTTCTGCATAAGGAATATGACTTTGTGTTAGCAAGAAAGACAAAGCATTGTGAAAGTGCTCACCGACAGCTAGGAGCCGCGGGATAACGTTTGGAATATGTGCTAAATCAAAGAGACGAATAGTCACAGAAGGCCAACACAAACCTTTCATCTGCTAGTTACTGGGTAGGTATGAACCCCGGCCTTAACGGAGGTGATGCAAAGTATTGCCGGGAAAAATTATGAATATAACTAAAGGACGAAGAATGCAGGTTTCGGCATTTGTTCGATATGCGAATAAAGAAACCAATCTCCCGAGCAGAACACAACAAAACCTGGCCTAACCCAGTAAGAAATATTCGCTAGAATGGTAAACATCTTAAGTGGACACCTAACATTTGGAAACGGGCGACCTTAGGCCTATGAATTATCCCCGAGGATAATTCACTATGAAATTCACTCACACCACACCTGACCCAAATTCCGACCGTGTGATGGGAG